GCTTAAAATTAAATCAAAAAATCATTTAAGAATGTGAAGTTTTAAATTCTGATTGCACAACTAAGAAGCTCTTAATACATTGGCTTTTAGTGCTGTGACTTAATGTAGAATCAAAGAAAAATAAAGGATAATTTATTTGGATTATAAAACTGTAAAATAGAGATTTCTTATTAACCTATTTGAGATTGCCAAGATAGTTATTTCATATTAGTAAAATGTGTGTGTGTATAATTTAGAAGTTATATTAGAGATCTGTTATCATAGGCAATGTTCTTTAAAACTATCTATAATGGGCTTGAGAATAATTGAGATGGTTTACAGCATAGTTGTCAAAATTAAAAACATCTACATTTTTGCAAATTCTTATTCTAAAGCCACTATTTAAACGCACATAGATTTTTTTTTTTAAAAAAAGAAAAATGCCAAATCTTAATGCTATATATTTCCACAGGTGGTATATTTTAGTCACAAGATTTAGGTTGAGACAAAGAACAGTATGTATTAATGAAATTGCTGAATGATGAATTCTTTGAAAAAATGAACTCTTTAACACTTTTTTTGCATACGTGTAGCATGAAACTACATTAACAGATTGCTCTCTAGTGAAGATTTACGAATTGTGCTTTACTAAACAAATTGAAATATATTTAACTAGCATATTGAGTTTTTCATATATGTAAACTTTATGCAAAAATAAAGACAGGTTATGATTCTAGCATCTTTTTTATTGTGAATTAATGACTTAGAAATTGATTTCAATTTAGATTTATAATTTGAGAGAAATAAAAAATATAAACACAAAAAACACCTCAGCAAAGAAGATATACTGATGGCAAATAAGCATGTGAAAAGATGTTCTACTTCATATGCCATCACGGAATTACGTATTTAATAAAATCACTGAGATCCCACTACATACCTATTAGAAGGGTTAAAATCAGAGCACTGACAATATCAAATTCTTGTGAAGATGTGGAATAACAGGAATTCTTACTCATTGCTGGAGGGAATGAAAATGATACAGCCACTTTGGAAGACAGTTTGACAGTTTCTTACAAAATTACTCCACATACTTTTACCATACAATACAGCAATTCTGCTCTTTGGCATTTACCCAAATGAGTTGAAAACTTATGTCTAAACAAAAACATAAACACAGGTGTTTGCAGCAGTTTTGTTTGTAATTGTCAAAACTTGGTAGCAACTAAGAAGTCCTTCAGTGGGTGAATTGGTAAACTGACACAATCAGTACTTTTTCAGCACTAAAAAATATAAATAAATAAAAAACAAACTAACCAGCCAGAAAAAAAAAAAAAATGGAGGAACTTAAATACATATTACTAAGTGAAAGAAGCCAATCTAAAAAAGGCTACAAAAGTATGATTCAAGCTATATGACATTCTGGAAAAGTCAAAATTATGGAGATGACAAAAAGATAAGTGGTTGCAAACTGGTTCATGAAGATAGAGGAATGAATAGGTAGAGCAGAGAGGATTTTTAGGACAATGAAACTAAAAGCATATCTCAAAGATATTTCGGGTTCAGCTCCAGAGCACCACAATTAGAAGATGTCACAATAAAATTAGTCACAAAAATTTGGGGGTTTCTCAGTGCATATAAAACTTATGTTTACACTATACTATTCTCTCTTAAGTGTGCAATAACATTATATCTAAAAAACATTGTACTTTCCTTAATTTAAAAATACTTTATTGCTGAAAAGTGCTAATGATAATCTGGACTTTCACTGAGTCATAATCTTTTTGTTAATAAAGTGTCTTCCTTCAATGTTGATGGCTGCTGATGGATCAGGGTGGTGGTCGCTGAAGGTTGGGAAGGCTGTGGTAATTTCTTAAAATAAGACAACAATGAGGTTTGCCACAATAATTGACTTTTTGTTTACAAAAGATTTCTGTGTAATACTCTGTGTTGCTAGATAGCATTTTACCCACAGTAGAACTTCTTTCACAATTGGAATCAATCCTCTCAAACTCTGGTGCTGCTCTATCAACTAAGTTTGTAGAATATTCTAAATCTTTTGTTGTCATTTCAACAGCATTCACAGCTTCTTCACCAGAAGTAGAATCCATCTGAAGAAACCACTTTCTTTGTTCATCTATAAGAAGCAACTCCTCATCTGTTAAAGTTTATCAAATTGCAGTATTTCAATCACATATTCACGTTCCACTTCTAATTCTAGTTCTCTTACTATTTCTACCACATCTGCAGTTACTTCCTCCCCTGAAGCCTCAAACCCCTCAAGGTCATCCATGAAGGTTAGAATCAACTTCTTCCAAACTGCTTTAATGTTGATATTTTGACCTGCTCCCATGAAGCACAAATGTTCTTAATGGCATCTAGAATGGTGAATTCTTCCCAGAAGGTTTTCAATTTACTCAGATACATCAGAAGAATCACTATGGTAGCTACAGGATTAAACAACATACATTTATTAAATAGTAAGATTTAAAAGTCAAAATTACTCCTTGATCCATGGACTGCCGAATGAATGCTCTGTTAGCAGGCATGAAAACAACATTAATCTCCTTGTACATCTCCATCAGAACTCTTGGGTGACTAGGTGCACTGTTAAAGAGCAGTAATATTTTGAAATTAATTTTTTTTCCTGAGCAGTAGGTCTCAACAGCAGGCTTAAAATATTCAGTAAACCATGCTGTCAATAGATATTCTGTTATTTAGGCTTTGTTGTTCCATTTATAGAGCACAGGTAGAGTAGATTTATTAATAGTATAACTCCTAAGGGCTTTAGGATTTAGAGACTGGTAAATGAGCATTACCTTCAACTTAAAGTCACCAGCTTCTCTTAATCCCTAGCAAGATAGTCAACCTGATTTTTAAAGTTTGGAACCAGGCATTGACATTTTTTTCTCTACCTTTTAAAATACCTGATGGCATTGTCTTCCAATAGAAGCCGTTTCATCTACATTAAAAAGTCTGTTGTTTGGTGCAGCTGCATTCATCAATAATCTTAGCTAGGTCTTCTGAATAATTTACTGCAGGATCTACATCAATACTTGCTGCTTCACCTTGAACTTTTATGTTATGGAGATAGCTTCTTTTTTTAAAACCTTATGAACACTCCCTGCTAGCTTCCAAGTTTTCTTCTACAGCTTCCTCACTTCTCTCAGCTTTCATAGAATTAGTTAGGGCCTTGCTCTGGATTAGGACTTGGCTTAAAGGAATATTGTGGTTTGCTTTATCTTCTATCAGACCACAAAAACTTTCTCCATTTTAGTGGTAAGGGTGTCTTTCTTTCTCATCATTCTTGTGTTCACTAGAATAGCACTTTTAATTTCCTTCCACAATTTTTTCTTTGCATTCACCACTTGGCTTACTGTTTAGCACGAGAGGCCTAGCTTTTGGCCTATCTTGGCTTTTGATATGCCTTCCTCACTAAGCTTATTATTTCTAGCTCTTGATTTAAAGTGAGACATATGTGACTCATCCTTTCACTTGAACATCTAAGAAGCCTTTACAGAGTTATTACTTGGCCCAATTGTAATTTTGCTGATTGTCAGTGAATTGGGAGGCCCAAGGGGTAGGAGAAAGATGGGAACTAGCTGGTTTGGTTGAGCAGTCAGAACATACCCAACATTTATCAATTAAGTTCGTCATTTTATATGGATGCCGTTTGCAGGGCTCTAAAACAATTGCAACAGTAACATCAAAGATCACTGATTATTGATCACCATAATAGATATAATAGTAATGAAAAAAATTGATATGTTGGGAGAATTACTAAACTTGCTCAACTCTGGGTAGCCACAAACCTCCAATTTGTAAAAAACATGTCTGGGAAATGCAATGAATTGGAGAGTAATAAAACACGTTATGCCTGCACTCTGTATGATATTATAATGGTAGAAACATGTCTTTACACACTTTTCCCAATGTGTTGGTGTTATATATTCTATATTGTATACAACACCAAGAATGAACTGTAATGCAAACTATGGTCTTTGAGTGAAAATGATGTGTCAGTGCAGATTCATCAATTGTAACAAGTGTAGTACTCTGGTAGGATGAGCCCATCATGCATGGGGGAATGGGGGATATATGGGAAATCTCTGTCCCTTGCTCTCAGTGTTGCTGTGAACCTAAAACTCTTCTTAAAAATGAAGTCTATTAAATTTAAGAAGAATAAACATTAACTATAATCTAACATCTACTCAAATATTTGTAATGGGAAAATAGTGACCCCAGAAATCAAGGGTTTTAAAAAATAAGATTAATATGAATTAAGCAAACTGAAAAAAATCAAAATGTTTTGCCAATTTTCTTTACTCTACATTTTCAATATGCCAAGAAATCATTAACATTAAGGATAAGTATTTCAAACAATATTGCTCCTGATGAACTAAATATTCATCCTACCGTTTGCATTCTAATTATTTTCCACTGGAAAATAGCTGCAAGGTAAGTTCATTTCCATGCTAACCCAAAGTTCATTAGGCCTCCTTACTGTTAAATCAGAGTAGACAAGAAAACTAAATCAGATCTTCAATTATAACACATTTTGCTATTATATATTTAAAGTCTAAGACACATGAATGGAAACATAGCTCATATATTTTGATTAATAAAGTGTTATGATATAAGCCATTCTTAATGTCACAAATATTTTTTGCTGTTCTTAACAAAGATGGAAATTAGGTAATATATTAAAAGTCCAAATAGAGAGTTATCTATTTATCTTTTGCAAGGAGATTACATATATGCATTTCTTGGGTTTGTGGTTTGTGAAATTCTCAGCCTCCTATTTACTCTACAAATATCACTGATCATAGCTCACCATAGTTTATAGTTTGTTTACTCTACAAATGGTTCTATTGATGTATGGTTCATCATCTGTGCAATTGGAGCACAAAACCAGAAAGCAGAGAAGACCTTTGTTGAAGACAAAACCACCTGCAGCTGAGAATGAGGAAATAGGAAAAAAAAAATTCTTCAAACAAATATAATAAAGTGATTTAGCTGACCTTTCTGTTAGCATTTCTGTTTGTGAAAAGCCTGTCATTCATGCAATGAGTACTTCCTTTGTCTGTACTTTTGTGTATGCATACTTCTGTGTGTGTGGATTTTCTTGTGTGTGTACTTCCTTGTGTGTGTACTGTCTTCTGTGTGTGCTTCCTTTTGTTGATATATATGAGATTATGAGGTAGACAGTGAGGGATTCCGGGTCTCCTAGGGATGAAAGCAGGTGCTGTTGCCCCCATCTTGGTCCTGCCCAATGCTAATTCTCCATACCTGGAGCAAAAGGGAATACCCTACGAATCTGCCAATCAGAACTTAGTGTACCAGCTGCAAAAGAATGCAGAGGACTCTCTAGGCCTCGGGCCAAGCCACATGAGTACCATAAGTCCGGAAAGTGACCTAGAATGCATGCGCACAGTAAGACTCAGCTCATGCAGCTCCCCAACTGTCCAATCAAAGTGGTTCTATGGTGATGTCTGAACCACAGGGAGGTCCCTATCCAGGCACTATAAAACAAGCAGACCATACCCAACCTCTCTTTTGCACCCTTCCTTTGGCTCTCCTTTTGCTACAACAATGAGTCCGGTCGTCATCTGTGGTTGTGTACCATGCTTTATAAACAGATATCTTTCTCTTGCCCTGTAATCCTATCTTTCTCTCCTCAATAAACCTCATGTTCGTGCTTGTCTAACTCTGGTACATTTGGTCATTCTTTGGCCATGAGCATGCCAAGAACCGACACTTCAGACTGAAACCTGACAAGAGTGGGGTGGAATTGGAAGAAGAAGTATAATTCTGTTCAGGAACACCTGCAAGCATGAGTAAATAGCAAACAGTAATGTATCTGTTTTATTTTGAATAATTCTATTTTTTGTCTATTATGATGTTTCACATCTTAAAAAACCCTTTAGGCTGGGGAATACGGACCCAAAATAAGTGACTGAAGCAAAAATGTCAATCAATGGAGGTTTATTAAGCCAAGGTTGAAGATGTTCTCTGGAAAAACACAAACCACAGACAGAACTGTGGCTGTTTTTCCAAAGGGGAATTTGGAAGTTTCAGCATTATAAGGCATATAGAAATAAAACAAGCTGGGAGAGGTGTGGTTAGTGAGACAAAATGTTTATAGTCTTGTTGAGACCCAGGAGTATTTACATATTACATAAGATAAGGTGAATGATACAAGAGAAAAAAAGGAGTGAAGGAAGCATCAATTATGTAGATGTCCCTGGGTGGGTGGAAGAGTGTCTCATCCTGTCCGGTCCGTGTTCTGTGCCTGTGAAGATATACTTGTAACTCATTATTAGTGTGGAGTCAAACAGGCTTTAGTTTTAGGAGTTACATGTAGCCTGCAGGCCCACAATTTGCGTGTCCTTGTTTATGGGAGGTCAGCGAGGAATTTCCTTATGCGTGATCTATGGGGCCAGTCCTTCACAGGTCCCTGAGGCCTTTACCTTCTCTTTTGCATGAGGAGTTTGGGGGTAGGGGAGACACCCTGAGATTTTTATTCTCTTTTGACAGGAGAAACTGCCCCTCTGAGGGCTAGGCAATTCTTAAAGATAACAAAGGAGCTCAGCTGGGAGCACGAGTATCATAGGCAAAGCAGCCTGGCTCAGAGCCATGCTTCTTCTCTCTGGCCCTTAGCTCCAGAGGCCAACATTCCTTTACCTTTAATCTTCCCAGAGTCAGGCACCAGGAAACTAGGGACCGCCCCTGCCCTGCTCTGCCTTTCTGGCAGAAACCCCAATAACAGCTCTGGCAGCTCAGCTTGCCCCTTGCTCCTGCTTTCGGCCTCCTGAGCACCCAGAGGCTTCCCTGTGTGGCCCAGTGTGGCCTGTTGTGCCTTCTGTCCTAAGACCTGTGTCTAACAAACCTTATTTCCCTGTGCTTGTCCTGTGTCTCCTGGTCTGGCTGTACCTGACCGACCAGCACATGAGAGAATACAGAACGCTGTTGCCCTGCCTGTCCTCATATACCAACTTGGAGCTCCATCCAAAAGGGAAAAATTGGGGCTGTATCTTACAGAAGAGTTTTTTTAAGAACCTTTGTGAGACTCTGACACATATAACGCCACCCTGTTGTGTCACTATTCCACAGACCATGACCCCCGAGGCAGAGACAGCCATCTTTGGCTCAGAACCGCAGGATGGCATTTGCACTTCACAGAGTAACATGTCACCTTTACAACAAAGCTGGAGCAGCCGGAAATAGTGGGGGAGTCTCCGGGGAGATGTGACGTTTCTTTGTCTTAAAAGTGGAGACCGAGAATTATTCTGCATGGATGTGGTCTCATTTGTACCTACAGCGGTGAAGATGAAGGACGTTCAAGCTGCCCTTCTCTAATTGGCAAATTTTAAAGAAACTAAAGGTGAGATTAAATACAGTTCTGTCTTTCTGGATTTTCCATTCATGAGGTTTTGGACTTCATGTGTCCAAAACTTAACTTTTGAGATTTCTTCCCAAACCTGGTCCTTTAATCTTCCCATCTTGATTTTAAAATGTCAACTCTAACCTCCAACTTGCTCAAACAGAAAACTTTGCAGTTGTTTTTAACTTTCAAACTTCATATCAAATCCATTCTGCTGCCTTCTAAACTTTCAAACTTCATATCAAATCCATTCTGCTGCATTCTAAACATATCCAGATTCTAATAACTTCTCAATAGACCAGAGTCGTCCAGTGGACCTATAAGGTAAGTCATATGTGTAACATAAAAAGGAAAACAAAAGACACAAAATTAATTTTAACATTATATTTTAACTCAAAGGATTCAATATATCATTTGACATGTACTCGATTTTAAAAATTATTGATGAGTTCTTTTGCTTTCTTTCTTTTCTTTTTCATATTGTCTTTGAAATCTGATGTGCATTTTATATGCAGAGCTCATCTCAACCCAGACTTGCAACATTTCATGTGTCTAAGGAAAACATGTAGTTAGAGGCTCTCAAATGGGGCAGCACAGCCCAAAACAATGGTTTGCTAAGATCTCCTTTTATCCTTGCCTCTTAAAATTTATGCTTAATACACTAGCCAGAATCCTTATATTAATAAAAACCTATAAAACTGATCGCTACAAAACATACGCCACACTACGTCACATCTTTCTTCAAAACCCTTCCATAGCTTCCGGTCTCACCCAGAATGAACCCCAGAGTCCCAGCAGTGCGAACAAGGCCCACACTGACTGCCTGCACCAGCGCTGTGGCCTCATCTCCCTCTCTCGTCACTCTCGCCTGCCCTGCTCCAGCACACGGTTCTCCTAACTCTTCCTCCAACACACTTTGAATGCCCACGTGTCAATATCAGCGCTCGCACCTCCCACTGCCTGGAAACTCTTTCCCCAGGTATCAGATGGCCACGCGATCCCTCATTTCCTTCAGTCTGTGCTCTAATTTCCTCCTATCTGTGATCCCTAGATCTTTGCTGACCATTCTCTATCCAATTTCGGCCTCCCTGATCACAAACATACACATGACTATTAAGGTGTTTCCTATGCCCTTTACCCTACTTTGTTCTTCTTAGGTTTAACACCATCTTTTGTGCACTACGTTATTTACTTGTTTACTTCTTGTTTTCTCTCCCATTTCCTTATGAAAATACACAAGAGTAGGGCAATGACTGACACGGTAGTCAATATATAAATTTGTTGTTGTTAGTAAGTGAGAATCTACAGGCGATGTTTTCTGATTTGGAAAGGGGTCTGATATTCGAGTCAATGTAGACAGATCAGCTCTGACTTCTATTTTCAATCATTTGATTGTCTAAGGGAAGGGCAGTGGGCATGATCTGCCTTGGCTGAAAGGAATGTTTTGTCACTGGCGTGGTTTAGCATTGCCGGTGCATGGTGATAAGGAGAAGCCAACTGGATTTTAGTAGGTGTTATGAATTTTGAATTTTCTTCAGACAATGCAATCCTTATTGCCCACACTTCACCTGACCGGTCTTAGTACTCTACCCCTGTTAGTCACTAAACTTAATTCTTACTATATCTCCCTGGGAGAGAAGAAAGAGTTGATCGATTATTAGCTTTACAGCTGATCTTGAGCCTGAAAACAACTGAAGGGCTCCAAATAAATCTGATCCAGTTTTTTTTGAATGATTTCTTTTAATTCTCTAATACCTCTCTAAACGTGTTCGTGTGCTCTAGCATTCTATTTCTTTCTTCTAGTCTAAGATCAAGACTATAGAGTGTTATTACCCATAGCCGTGGAAACTAGCCAGCACATAATGGCTCTCATTCTACATATATGGTACTGATTTCTTTAAATATGCATTTTCACATTTGTTATAAATCACCAGTGGGCATTAATAAATAAAATTCTATTAATATTTTTCAAATATGTTTGATTTCAATGATTTATTTCTATTGTCAATGTATGTCATCACTTTCACAGAGAAAAATGCTAATCAATGTATAAAACAAGGTAAACCCATGTCATTGTCACAAAGCAATTTAAATGAGGAATAAATTAATTAGCAACTCTTTTGTCCTTCCTTTCTGCTTGCATCTTCCAGCAACAACTATCCTTCTCATTTCAAATGAATAACTGCATGGACTTAACTTTTATAGACAGATTTTTACCCATGTGAAGAAAAGCTTCCCAAAGGAGATTTCCATGCTATGTGGGATGAAAAAAAATGTGCTTAGGTAAAACTTAAAAAAAAAATCAAGAAAAGATATAAATAAACACTTTTCTTTAATTTTTGGCTGCAAAAATAAAATAATAAGGGACAGATAAAGGGACACCTTACTTTTCTGATTGCATCATTGTAAGATTAAATAATAGTAAAAAATATAGGGAAAAAGCATGAAATCTATAAACTCCTCTTACCACAGCTCATATACTAGAAACTAAAAATTAAATTATATCAGCACTGAAAAAAATACTCAGGGCAATATAATTTCTAAATTACATTTCTTCAAATTCTGATCTTTCAAATTAGGAAAACATATTGGTGAAACATGTCATGAACATGTTAGAACAATTTGCTTTCTGGTTAAGTGTATTAAATATAAAGCTTATTCTTATCAAAGTACATTTTCATATATTACTAAATTAATGCTTTACTTAAAATTAGTAGCTTTCTTACAGATCATGTCTAAATTATTATAATTAAGTAA